TGCCAAGATTCTGGGGTAATGATACTTACATCAGCACCTGTGTCCAGCAGGCCAGTAATAAAAATGCCATTTACACACACTCTCAGCTTAGGTCTTTGATCATTTATAGAAGTTTGCCAAAACACACATAACTCATCTTTCTGATCATTATTGTTTGTAACGGTAGGCATGGGGCTTCCTAATTGTCCTGCCGAGGCACGTTCTCTGCAGAGACTGGAAATGACTGAACCATGTTTGCCATGGGGCCTGTGAGCCCCCCCTCTCACGTTTCCCATCTGTATCAGGTTACCTTGTCTATCTCTTGTAGACCTGCATTCATTCATCCAATGTCTGCCTTTTCCACATCTTCTACATAAACCTGAAGGCTGAGTCCTTCTATTTCTGTTATTTCTAGGAGAAGCATTATTATTATTTCTGAAAATCCATTGTCTACAATTCCTTTTCATATGACCCATTTTGCCACAGTTAAAACATTTGGTATTCTGTTGTCTCCTTTTACCATTGAAAATTGCTTTTTCTACCCATGCTTCAGTGCCATAATCAAATGTATCAACACTCAGTGTATGCAAGACCCATTCTTCCAAGGGCGCTGATCTGAGCTTTAAAGGCCCCAAAATCCTTTTGCATTCCACATTTGCATTTTCATAAGCCAAAGACTCAATCATTATATGTCTTGCTTCTGGGTCAGATATCCCTATTTGTACAGCCTTAGTTAGTCTTTGTAAAAAGTCACTAAAGGGTTTTCTCTGACCCTGTTTAACTGTGACAAATGATTCCATTCTCTGTCCTGGGTCTTGTACCCTTTCCCAAGCCCTTAAGGCTGCTGTAGTACACATTGAAAGTGTGCTTTATCCAAATTAGCTTGTTCCTGAGGTTCAGAAAAGAGCCCTTCACCTAGAATTTTATCTAGGGAAATGTCAATTCCCTTCGCTTTTTCTGGCTGTTCTAAAAGTCTAGCCTCTTGCCTGAATAAGCATTTCCATTTCAATTGTGGTCCACTCTCAAGTACCGCAGAGCTCAGCTGGAGCCAGTCCAAGGGAGTTGCTCTGTTTGTCGTGGCCCAAGATTTTAGCATCTCTTTAACAAAAGAGGCATGCATCCCAAACGTCATGACAGCCTGTTTAATTTCTTTGAGGTCATTCATACCGACAGGCTCCCATACATCTTCCTTGATGACCCTAGGGTTTCTGGAACCAATCACCTTCTCTGTTGTTATTACTGGAAAGGCAGGTAGAGCTGTAGGTAGAGATTTGTGGAAATTGTCCCGGAGGGATTTACCCACAGATGTAGTTAAAATTTGCCTTTCTACCCTTTGCTCTTCTTCATCAGAATTTAGAAATTCCTCAATCTTTTCAATTCTATTCACCATTGCCTTCTGCAATGTCTGTATCTCCTGTCCAGAATTATGTTCCAAAGCCTTCATTGAGGATTCTAAAGTATGAAGTTTGTCCATTAGAGATAAGTTCTCATCTTTGGACATAATTTTTATGGCATAAACCGTGCCTTCTTGTATTGACAATCTTTCTGCCAATCTGTCATAAGCTTTAGACAAAATCCGATAGTCACATTCAGCAGTTTTGATTCTCTCAGTTACTATTTCAGTTCCTACAGAAAGGGACTGAAGCTTACAACCCAAATCAGCTGTTCCCTCTTCCATAGTAATGAGTTTCTCCTTAATATCAGCCACTAATGTTTCAGTTCCTACAGAAAGGGACTGGAGCTTACGATCCAAATCAGCTGTTCCCTCTTCCATAGTAATGAATTTCTCCTTAATATCAGCCTGTAATGTTTCAGTTCCTACAGAAAGGGACTGGAGCTTACGATCCAAATCAGCTGTTCCCTCTTCCATAGTAATGAATTTCTCCTTAATATCAGTCTGTACCTTTTTTAAATTTTCCTCAGTTGATCGAGTCATGTTAAACAAAGATCTGTTCTCCTCCTGGAGAACTTCAAACTGATTCTTGAGAAGATTGTTGTCATTCTCAATTGTTTTTAAGCGTGCAACCTCTGCTCGTAAAGACTTTATCATATTTCTATTATCAAACCATATAGTGCCAAGGAAAACTACGAATCCCAGAAAGATCCATAGAGGTGGGGTGATAGACACCTCTTGTAAAATCTCCCACATGGTACAATTAAAAAAACTGTTAAATTCTTGAATGGTAACGTGTTCAGACATTTTAATTATAAAAGAAAATTTTTTCTCTTACCTGCAACGACTGGTTCCTGCCGGTGGTGGTCTCTGTGGTTTTGGAGCCTGTCTTGGAACTAGCTCTTGTAGACCAGGTTGGCCTCGAACTCACAGAGATCCGCTTGTCTCTGCCTCCCGAGTGCTGGGATTAAAGGCGTGTGCCACCACAGCCTGGCCGGCCTTGAACTCACAGAGATCCGCTTGCCTCTGCCTCCGGAGTGCTGGGATTAAAGGCGTCTGCCACCACCGCCTGGCCGGCCTTGAACTCACAGAGATCTGCCTGCCTCTCTGGATATTATGGGCCTGAAGGCAGAGTGTATCTCGGACTCAGCCCTGGGGCCCGAGTCATAAACTAAGAAAATGACACCCGGGAGCGTGCTGTGTTAGCTAGCAGGCTACGCGCTTGAGTCGGGGGCAAAATAGCCCGACGTTGGACGCCACAATGTAACGGCGTAAGCGAATGCAGACAGATTGTCAAAATATAGACAGCTTTAATGGAGGAATAGACTTACAGAACCACTGTTCCCGCGGAGACCAGGAAAGCAGAAGAGAGCGCTGGGAGCACGCTCACCAATTTTATAGGAGAACTTTAGCCTGAGGCGAACACGCCCCCTAAGGGGTGGGACTTATCCCTACATCTCCCCCTTTTGTCTAAATAAGACAGAACTAAACCAAATACAACTATATACAATAATAACAAATAAATATAACAAACAATATTGAGAATCAAAAGTTTTGCTAAACATTCTATCTCAAGGAGTCTAAATAATGTAGAGAGTAACTACAATTATATAATCTTCAACTCCATCAAAGATCCGAGAAGGCAATAAATATTACTTAACAAACGATCCAAATGTGTAACAATTGACAAAGACAACTGACTACCTGAGCAATCACCCAAAGTCTCGTTTGCAATGTTGAGTCAACCAACTTTGGCTAAGGCCTAACATAACTGACATACCATTATTAAAGGCAAGGAACTTTTCAAAACTATCTTACCCTGTCTTGGCAGGATATGACAGTCCTGTTGTATCCATTGATGCACGCTCTGTATCTTTGTCAGTGGTTGAGGTATGGGCTTTTCTTAACCCAAAGGCCAGTTCTGCCAAGAAGACAAGCTCCCAGTGGAGTGTCTTTGGTGCTCAACGTTCTCTCGGGAATAGAGCGGTGTTGCCAGGAGCAATTGTGTCTCACTATCACGAAACTCTGAGTTATATTAAAGGCCATATTCTACAGCTCTCCAAAGAGGTTGAAGATTATCTATCTATACTGAGTATAATCTCTATATATCTAAAGAACCTGATTAGTCTAATTACAAATGACAAACTTAGATGACTATTAATCTATATAATTCTCAATATCTATCTAACTTAAAGACTAAAACAATAAACAACTGTGCAATATATGAAGACAATGATCTTCATCTGTAAACAATGTCATTACATATCAAATGTAAACAATGTTATTACATAAATAGTATCAGAGGTAGAAATGTACATTGTGATATGGTAGATGTATCAATACAATATAAGCATATTCTTATACAAAAATAGAGGTAGGAACACTCACATTCAATATTCAATATGTCAATATACAGAAAACAGTACCAATACAATTTTCTAAAAACAGTAACTCACAAATACCAATCATCCCATCAAACCAGTTAATCCCCCCCCTTTTTTTTTTTCGAACATACCCCTAATTCCATAAAACATCTCCCCATCCCCTCAACCCCAAACCAACCACTAAAAGATGTCCCTAACCCTGAGGGCAAACTCTGTTGGGAGAGGGGACGTCGTCCTCTAAGATTGCTTCAAGCTGACATGGGGGCGATGTTCTCCTTAGGGGCTCCTGTGAAAGCAAATGATGGTAAAATTCCCAAATTAACCTTTGACCTAAGAAAATTATAACTAGTCCCTGAGCACTTTGAGAAGGTCCGGCCAGAGTGTTGTCAAAAATGTGCACCATTCGAAATTGTCTTGTGCAGTTGGTACCAAAAAACAGGTCTCATATTAGCGCGTAAAAAAGAGAAAAAGAAAAAAAATATTCATGACGTCATAAAAACCAGGTTGAGTTGATGTTGTGGGGCCCCATCTTCATCCTGGAAACTTCAAAAATTACTGTAGGGAAATTTGTTGCTTGTTATGGGAAATTTAAACATTAACAACAAGGACATATTCTGACATATAAAGAAAGACACAGATATGAGGAAAAGCAAAGAAAGTTTATCAAGTATATAATTATCCTCATTCTGTCCCATTTCATGGCTCCTGATCTGAGACAGAAACTCTGAGATATCTCTTATCAACAGGCTTGGAATTGAAGAGGGACTGAGCCATAGTCCAACTCCAAAACCAGCTCTACATATTTATAAAGAAGCGTTCAAAGAGAAAAAAGAAAATATATATATAATCAATACTTACTCATGTTACTGTTGAGTCTTAGTGGGTCGTAACTATTTTCCATCCATCAGTTATTAAATATTCAGGGTCCCTTAAATTCTTTGAAGATCAGTATTTTCCTGTGGAGATAAAAAAAAAAGAACCCTGCCCCCAACCTACCTGAATTCCTTACCATCAGTATGCTCGCCATCCTTGTGAATGAATTGTTATTTATCTTTTCCAAATGGCTTTTCTTCTTCATACCGAACCTTTATTAATTTTGACGGTATCCACAATTGTTCCTCACCTGTGGAGATAAGAGCAAAACCCCTTCCCCAACGCAGCACATCTCCTGGCTTCCATTGTGAGGTCAGCACATCCTTGAAATAAACTGGTTGATTTAGTTCAGTAGACTTTTCCATTATCCAATGTCTTTCTGCAGCCGTTGTCCCCTTCTCATTAGCGTTAAGAAAATTCAAGGTTAACAAAGCATTATGTAACCTATTTCTGGGGGTGTTTTCCACCCCTTTCTGTTTATTCAACATATCCTTTATAGTTCGATTTGATCTTTCTATGACTGCTTGACCTGTAGGATTGTATGGTATACCTGTAACATGCTTGATATTGTAATAGTCAAAAAACCGTTTCATTTTCCTAGAGGCATAAGCAGGACCATTATCTGTCTTTATTTGTGTAGGTATACCCATGATAGCCATGACTTCTAATAAATGAGTGATTACTGAATCAGCTTTTTCTGAACTTAAAGCAGTTGCCCACTGAAAGCCTGAATAAGTGTCAATGGTGTGGTGAACATACTTCAATTTGCCAAATTCTGCAAAGTGAAACACATCCATCTGCCAGATTTCATTCCTTTGGGTGCCCTTTGGATTAGCCCCTGCAGGCAGTGGCGTTTGGTTATAGAAAGAGCAAGTAGGGCATTTCTTTACAATCTCCTTAGCTTGTTGCCATGTGATAGAAAACTCTTTCTTCAAACCTTTGCTATTAACATGATGTTTTTTATGAAATTCAGAGGCTTGTAGCACACTACCAATCAATAATTGATCAATTTCTGCATTACCTTGTGCTAGAGGACCTGGCAGACCCGTATGGGATCGGATGTGTGTTATGTACATAGGGCAAAGCCTGTTCCTGATCAAATCTTGAACCTGGATAAACAATGAGGTTAGTTCTGTATCATCAGGTATAAATTCAGCAGTTTCAATATGTAAAATAACTCTTTCTGCGTATTGTGAATCAGTAACTATATTAATAGGTTCTCTAAAATCCCTTAGCACCATAAGAATGGCATATAATTCTGCCTTCTGGACAGAATCATAAGGACTTTGTTCCACCTTACCCAAGTCTTCCGATTTGTAACCTGCCTTCCCTGTTTTATTGGCATCAGTATAGAATGTACGGGCTCCAGTTATTGGAGCATCACGGACGATTCGAGGAAGGATCCAAGAAGTTCTCTTTATGAAGTTAAGCCTCTTGCTTTTTGGATAGTTGTTATTAATGTCTCCCAAAAAATTAGCACAAGCTCTTTGCCATGTTTCATTATCTTCCCATAATTTCTTTAGTTCATCAGCAGTGAAAGGCACTATAATTTCTGCTGGGTCTATGCCTGCTAGTTGACGAAGTCTCAGCTTGCCTTTTATAATTAACTCAGAGACTTTTTCCACATAAGTTTTCAGTTTTTTACTTGGTTTATGTGGTAAAAAGATCCATTCCAAGATAATATCATCTCTCTGCATTAAAATTCCTGTAGGAGAAATTTTGGATGGTAATATGACGAGAATACAATCGAGCTCTGGATTCACCCTGTCCACATGTGCCTGTTGTAATTTTTCCTCAATTATTGTCAGTTCCTTTTCTGCTTCAGCTGTTAATTCTCTGGGACTGTTTAAGTCTTTATCACCTTCCAAGGTTTTGTTCAAATGAATTATTAGATCAGGTGTTATCCCAACAGCTGGTCGTAGACTGGAAATGTCTCCTAACAGTCTTTGAAAGTCATTAAGAGTCCGTAGGCGATCTCTCCTAATTTGTGCCTTTTGTGTCTTAATTTTTTGCAAACCTATTTTATAACCTAAATAATTAACAGAATCTCCCTTCTGTATCTTCTCAGGAGCAATTTGCAATCCCCATTTAGGTAAAAGTATCTTTATTTCTTCAAACAGTCTGTTCAAGGTATCCATGTTTGAATCGGATAACAAGATGTCGTCCATGTAGTGGTATATTATAGATTTGGGAAATTTCTTGCGTATTATTTGCAATGGTTGGTTCACAAAATATTGGCACAAGGAGGGGCTATTTAACATACCCTGGGGGAGGACGGCCCAGTGGTACCTCTTGGAAGGTTGAGAATTGTTGTAAGTAGGCACCGTGAAGGCAAATTTTTCTCTATCTTCTTTTTGTAAAGGTATGGTGAAAAAACAATCCTTTAAATCAATAACTATAAGAGGCCATCCTTTTGGTAATAAAGAGGGCAAAGGGATTCCAGATTGCAGAGGACCCATAGGTTGAATAACCTTGTTGATAGCTCTGAGATCTGTCACCATTCTCCATTTACCTGATTTTTTCTTAACCACAAATACAGGAGAATTCCAAGGGCTGGTAGATTCTTCTATATGTCCAGCATCTAATTGCTCTTGTACCAGCTGTTCTAAAGCCTGTAACTTTTCCTCAGCTAGAGGCCATTGCTTTGTCCATATTGGTTTCTCAGTCAACCATTTTAGAGGCAAGGCTGTTGGTATCTCTGAAGGGGCTTCAATTACTTGTTCTTGTATGGCCCGAATGGCCGGTTTTCTCCGTTTGTAATATCTTTTAATATTATTCTCAGAAATATAGGCTCTAGAAGTAGCAGGAATGTTAATTTGGGTATTCCATTGTTGTAATAGGTCACGACCCCATAAATTCATTGCAATATTGGCTACATATGGCCTTAATTTTCCTATTTGTCCCTCAGGCCCTATACATTCAACCCATCTTGTGCTCTGTCTTACTCGAGATAGGGTTCCAATTCCCAGGAGCTGAACATTTACATTCTGAAGAGGCCAATACGGATGCCAAGATTCTGGGGTAATGATACTTACATCAGCACCTGTGTCCAGCAGGCCAGTAATAAAAATGCCATTTACACACACTCTCAGCTTAGGTCTTTGATCATTTATAGAAGTTTGCCAAAACACACGTAACTCATCTTTCTGCTCATTATCGTTTGTAACAGTAGGCATGAGGTTTCCTAATTGTCCTGACGAGGCACGTTCTCTGCAGAAACTGGAAATGACTGAACCATGTTTGCCATGGGGGCCTGTGAGGCCCCCCCTCTCACGTTTCCCGTCTGTATCAGGTTGCCTTGTCTATCTCTTGTAGACCTGCATTCATTCGTCCAATGTCTACCTTTTCCACATCTTCTACATAAACCTGAAGGCTGAGTCCTCCTATTTCTGTTATTTCTAGAAGATGCATTATTATTATTTCTGAAGATCCGTTGTTTACAATTCCTTTTCATATGACCCATTTTGCCACAATTAAAACATTTGGTATTCTGGTGTCTCCTTTTACCATTGGAAATTGCTTCTTCTACCCATGCTTCAGTGCCATAATCAAATGTATCAACATCCAGTGTATGCAAGACCCATTCTTCCAAGGGTGCTGATCTGAACCTTAAAGGCCCCAAAATCTTTTTGCATTCCACATTTGCATTTTCATAAGCCAAAGACTCAATCATTATACGTCTTGCGTCAGGGTCAGGTATCCCTATTTGCACAGCCTTAGTAAGTCTTTGTAAAAAATCACTAAAAGGTTCTCTCAGACCTTGTTTAATTGTGACAAATGATTCCATTCTCTGTCCTGGGTCTTGTACCCTGTCCCAAGCCCTTAAGGCTGCTGTAGTGCATATGGAGAGTGTGTTTTCGTCCAAATTAGCTTGTTCCTGAGGGTCAGAAAAGCGTCCTTCACCTAGAATTTTATCTAGGGAGATGTCACTTCCCTTCGCCTTTTCTTGCTGTTCTAAAAGTCTAGCCTCTTGCCTGAACAAGCATTTCCATTTTAAGTGCGGCCCACTCTCAAGGACTGCAGAGCTCAGCTGGAGCCAGTCCAATGGCGTAGCTCTGCTTGTGGATGCCCAAGACTTTAGCATCTCTTTAACAAAAGAGGAATGCATCCCGAAAGTCATGACAGCCTGTTTAATTTCTTTGAGATCATTCATACGGACATGCTCCCATGTATCTTCCTTAATGACCCTAGGGTTTCTGGAACCAATCACCTTCTCTGTTGTTATTACTGGAAAGGCAGGTAGAGCTGTAGGTAGAGATTTGTGGAAATTGTCCCGGAGGGATTTACCCACAGATGTAGTTAAAATTTGCCTTTCTACCGTTTGTTCTTCTTCATCAGAATTTAGAAATTCCTCAATCTTTTCAATTCTATTCACCATTGCCTTCTGCAATGTCTGTATCTCCTGTCCAGAATTATGTTCCAAAGCCTTCATTGAGGATTCTAAAGTATGAAGTTTGTCCATTAGAGATAAGTTCTCATCTTTGGACATAATTTTTATGGCATAAACCGTGCCTTCTTGTATTGACAATCTTTCTGCCAATCTGTCATAAGCTTTAGACAAAATCCGATTGTCACATTCAGCAGTTTTGATTCTCTCAGTTACTATTTCAGTTCCTACAGAAAGGGACTGAAGCTTACAACCCAAATCAGCTGTTCCCTCTTCCATAGTAATGAGTTTCTCCTTAATATCAGCCACTAATGTTTCAGTTCCTACAGGAAGGGACTGGAGCTTACGATCCAAATCAGCTGTTCCCTCTTCCATAGTAATGAATTTCTCCTTAATATCAGCCTGTACCTTTTTAAAATTTTGCTCAGTTGATCCAGTCATGTTAAACAAAGATCTGTTCTCTTCCTGGAGAACTATAAGCTGATTCTTGAGAAGATTGTTGTCATTCTCAATTGTTTTTACGCGTGCAACCTCTGCTCGTAAAGATTTTATCATATTTCTATTATCAAACCATATAGTGCCAAGGAAAACTATGAATCCCAGAAAGATCCATAGAGGTGGGGTGATAGACACCTCTTGTAAAATCTCCCACATGGTACAATTAAAAAAACTGTTAAATTCTTGAATGGTAACATGTTCAGACATTTTAATTATAAAAGAAAAATGTTTTTTTCACCTGCAATGACTGGTTTCTGCCAGTGGTGGTCTCTATGGTTTTGGAGCCTGTCTTGGAACTAGCTCTTGTAGACCAGGTTGGCCTCGAACTCACAGAGATCCGCCTGTCTCTGCCTCCCGAGTGCTGGGATTAAAGGCTTATGCCACCACCGCCTGGCAGGCCTCGAACTCGCAGAGATCCGCCTGCCTCTCTGGATATTATGGGCCTGAAGGCCGAGTGTATCTTGGACTCAGCACTGGGGCCTGAGTCACGAACTAAGAAAACAACACCCGGAAGCATGCTGTGTTAGCTAGCAGGCTAAGCGCTTGAGTCGGGGGCAAAATAGCCCGACGTTGGATGCCAAAATGTAATGGCATAAGCGAATGCAGACAAATTATCAAAATATAGACAGCCTTAATGGAGGAATAGACTTACAAAACCACCTTTCCCGCGGAGACCAGGAAAGCAGAAGCGAGGGCTGGGAGCATGCTCGCCAAATTTATAGGCAAAGTTTAGCCTGAGGCGAACACGCCCCCTAAGGGGTGGGACTTATCACTACAGATGATTGAAGGAATATGATACAACAAGGTTTTTGTTTTGGGGTGCTTTTGTTGTTTGTTGTTTTCTTTGTATTTTTTTTAATTCTGTCCTCTGGTCAGTAAATTGACCCTGGAATTTTATTGTTACAGAAATGCATGCTGTAAATCACACAAGCCCATAGTACCCAGAGTTTATTACACTTTTCCTCCCTATTTCTAAGCATTCTCCTTCCAAACTCTCCTCAAAAAGACAAAGGACAAAAAAAAAACTATGAAAATAATAAATTGTAACTATAAGTTTTCTTCAATTGGCAGCTGAAGGAGAATACATTATTCTAGAGAATAATTCCACACTACGGTTATATTTCTTAAACAGCAAGAGTTTTTTTTTTTTTTTTTCTGTAGACCAACATCTGTGTAACTAATTGTAAACACAGGGTAGAAAGCTGGATCATTGTACAAAATTCTGCTAGCCAGCAATGCTCAGAAATATACAGTAACATAAGTTGCAAACTGATTGAACTAATGCCACTCCATATTTCCTGAGTATAGCATTTACTGCCCTGAATATAAGAATAGGAAGATATGGTAGCAGTAGATATACCTGTATTTCAAATTGTCAGACTTTTATTAATTATACAAAATATGATATTCTTTACATGATATTTATAACAGAACATGCTATAGAAAAATTGGGTTAATGAGTTCATATGTTTACTCAAATAATTTGCCTAATGATTTTGAAGGCAAGTAGTTCTCAGAGTTGGAGAAGTAGAATTGAGGTCAATGGGGCCACTGTTGAGAATTTTATCAACTTTTGTGACTCTGTCTGTCCAATAAAGTTTTCCATCATTACATTACAAGATAATCTAATTGTGTTTATCCAGAACTGCAATGCTAGGTAATTGCTTTTTTCTCCTCTTCCCTTTAAATTCTATAACTTTTAAATTGTTTTGTGCTTTTTGGTTTGTTTTGTTTTTTTTAATTATTTGTCCTGGATATTGAACCCACAGCCTTGCACACAATAGGCAAGTCTTCTACCACTAAGTTGCATTTCTAGATTTTTATCTTTTAATGTCTTTCCAGGTTGGCTAAACTACTCACTAACTCACTGTGTGGGGCTCAGATGGGCTTCAAACTTTGAACCTCCTTGCCTTAGCCCCCATCTAATTTTCTAAACTTTTAAAAATATATTTTGCTCTGCAGTCACTGGTGAAAATGTTCATAAAATCTTATAAAAATAATTTTAGTTATAGCAAGGTGTGATAGTTCACACCTGAAATCCTTTCACTTGGGAAGCAGAAGCAAGAGCTTCATGAGTTCAAAGCCAACTTCAGTGACATGATTCCTTGTCTCTAACTCATCATTTAAAGAATTCTTATTTCAGATTTCAGAAGATACAAAGCTCATGTGGTCTGTGTTACCTTGAAGAAAACTATGGCAAAATGTCCTCCTTTGCAATTGACATCCAGCAGGTAGCGCTCAACCAGGTAGAAGAAGTGGAGACTCTGCCCCGGCTTAAGCAAGTTCTCACATACACACGTGACAAGCAAGGAGTCTCCGTCAATCAGAAAAAACTCAGATTCAACAAAATCGTTGAATAAACTGGAATAGCTAAAAAAGAAAAGTGTTGGAACTAAGCTCATATGGATAACATAATACCCCCAAACAGTACAATGGTTATTATTTCATTGACATTAACAACCTAAATTGCTGAATACATATTTGCATATAATTACATATATTTCTATTATGTATGTAATGTACATTCTCTCTCTCTCTCTCTCTCTCTCTCTCTCTCTCTCTCTCTCTCGCTCATACAAACAAACACACACACAGATTCAGGTACACATCAACATTACCATATAAGGTCAAATATCTCTACAGGAAAGGGGAATGTTACACATAATTTCAAAATTCTTGATTACTGCAAAAATACTTACTCAGCCTTTGGCATATTTTCCAGAATTAATTGGGACATTTTCTCTAAAATCACTGTGTAATGTTCTTCTGATAAGGGAAAACAGAGAGATTTTTTTTAATTAGCCTTTTAAGGGGAACTCACAGTTATTATTTGAGGATTAAGAAATAATAATGCAGTTATTTTAACTGTTTAATCTATAAGCATATATTTATAATGCTATGAATATCTTTGAATCGAAATTTACCCATTCTTGCTGCTATCTGTGCCTTCAATTTGAATTGAGGAATATTAAAAATGCAAATATTCTTAACTGTGTCTTCTCTAAATGGTCATTATTTATAACAGCAAATCTGCAAAGAAAGAAAAAAAACTGATCAACTTTCCTGTTAGCAGAAATGTGCTGAATGACTGTTTTTCCAACAAAACATTGAGTAGCAGGGACACAAGAATGAGTACTATCAACATGTGGTTTGTTCTCAGGGAATAAAAGTCAAGAAGTCAACCATTAATCTTGTCATTGCATATACAATAGAAAATCATTAGTTCCACCAAGTCAAAAAAAAAAAAAAAAAAAAAAGGAGACATTCCATAAAGAAGCAATGACCAAGGAAAGTTCTAAAGGATTAAACAGAATGGAGGAAGGTGAGCGTCCAGACAGAGACGAGCAGCACTTCATCTCATGTAACATGCAATGGCCTGTGTGGGATGAATGATGGAGGCGGAACCAGGTTCCTTCAGGAACCAGGAGGCTGGAGTAGAGAGTGGGAGATGGTGTTTGATGCTGAGAGAGGGTGTGAGAGGCGTGCAGGTCCCTCCAGCATGGGGCATAGTTAGTCACTAAGGATTATAAGATGTGATGGCTTTGCATCTTGGAAAGATTACTCCAGCACTGTACATCAGTGGGAGTCAAGTTCTTTTCAGCAGAGAGAGAGAAAGCTGTGACTTGGCAAAGCAATGGTGGCAACTTGATAAAATTACAGCCTAATGCGAGTTTGAGGTGAGAAGTCTGGCAAGGTGTGAGTTTATTTGATGGATGTTAAAGGTAAGTATGACATCATTTGACAACAAACACAATATGGGTATGGAGGAATAGAGGAGTGAGCTGTCAAGAAGACTGAAGATTCTAATTCAGGGATGACAGATGTTTGCACTGTAAAAGTGCTTGTTATGAAAACACGAGGAACTGAGTTCAAATCTCCAGCACCCATGTAAAACCCCTTATTTCTACAATTAGCATTAGGGAATGGAGTCAGGCAGCCACAAGGAGCCCACTGACTAGTGAGTCTAGGCAAAATAGCAGGCTCCTAGTTTAGTGGTAGATCCTGTCTCAAGGAAATAAAAAACCAGAGTCCAACAGCAGCAAACATTCCATAGCCTCCTTGGTCCTCCAAATGAATGTACAATGACACATAGATGCACTCATGCAAAAGCATGCATTACACATGCATTCACTCACACACACATACACAAATTGTAATTCTTGTCACACAGTAGATTATTAGGCCATTCTCTGATGTCAGAATCTTGGAATAAGACCACAAGTCAAGCAAAGGTCATGAACTCTTGTGTGGTTCACCTAAATTTGACGGGCTTTGCAACTTACCACAGGCCATGTAATGTAGATTCTTAAATATGGAAGGCTAGGAGTCAAGTGCAAGGTCTCAACCATATTGGAATATATATGTCATTTTACTTATTAATTATAAAAGTAGTCACTGGAACAAAAACCTTGCTTGGACACAAAGAGACAGCTGCATCATGAATGTGATGTGAATGGAACTAAATACTAATTCTGTGGATTACTAATATAATAATACATTGCAGGAAAGAGAAGACTGCAAAGATGACGTAGAAAGAAATATTTCGGAGGCATAGTCAAATGCTCAGATATCTGTTGTAGAGTACATCTACTTCTGTTAATAAGTAGATTGTATTATTTAGCTAGATAGAGAGACAAGAGCTACATAAATACACAGACATATAGAAAGAGAGAGAGAGAGAGATGGACCATTAAGTCAGAAGACAGATTGCTGATTGACCATCTGAAAGTTTCATTCCCACTGTCCATGATACTGCGATGACATCAGTCCTGGTTTGTCTGACCTAATTCCACTTTGGCGGTAGGGGGAAGATTCTGATAAATGTTGAGAAGTCAGTACCAACAAAATCCCTTTTCTGCTTTTCAAATTATAACAACTAAAAAGCGTGGATGGCTTTGGCTATCCACCAGGACTGAGATCCCAAGTTTAATTCTGTCTGTCCTAAGGTTCTTCACACATGGTGGACTTCTATGGAAAGTCAACAGACAGCTATTTCAAAGATTGAAAAGAAGAATACAAAATAAACCAATGCGGTGAAGCATTTTGTAAAAACTAATTTGGAAAAGAAATACATACTAGAATATACTTGCTTGTTTGTTGTTTGTTTATGTGCGGTATTTATTTATTAATTTATTTATTTATATGTGGTGATGATCAAAACTGTTTAATAACAAAATACTTAGACCAGCTGTTAGAGTTGTGCAGGAAGCTTAGTAACTTAAAACACAATATAGAAGAATCAAACTATAATCGTTGTCTATAAACTTGCATTTAAAAGATATTCAGCTTTAGTTCTTTGAGTATGTGCACATATGTCTACAGACAATTGTGGAAGTCAGAGGACAATGTCTGGAGTCAGCTATCACCTCCCAACAAGTGGATCCTGAGAGGGAGCTCAGGTTTTCACACTTGGTAGCTAGTGCCCTTATCTGCTGAGTCACTTCATTGGCCCCATTTAAAAGATTTTAAGAACAGATACTTAAATAAACTTGACTTCTTTAATGTCACTTTCCTAAAATGTCTGAAAACAAAAACATGATCATCTCGATTAACCATAAAATCTGATTTTTTAAATGTCTTCTTAGCAGAGAAGATCCATAACTTAACCTAATTTTTAAAAGAGGACTGTTTTCTAGCTTTATAAAACGAACCAAAACTTGACTTTAGGAATTTCATCCTCCACAAAGTCTTTGCGACTTTGTTGGTTCTCCTGTGAAGTCAAGAGAACCTTCCGATATTGCCCTCAGGTCTCCTCTTCCATCTTGGGATACTCTAGTCTTTACCCAAGGCCAAAATGGTATTTTTCTCTGTGACTAAATCCCTATTTATTTTTAAAGAAACCCTCTTTTATTTTGAGCTATCATTTTAGTGAAAAATGCACCCTCTTCACATTCCATCCTACTCTCCTACTTACTAACATTTTTACTTTACGTGCTCATAAGAACATCATAGCAAGCAAATTTACCAACTGTTTTGAGAAAGAAGAGATTCTAAATCTCACTTAGAACATAACGCAACAAATTAAGAATAACCCACAGTCAGCAGCACTCCACGGCTGTTACTGTCCCTATGAACAACTTCTGGGTTTAAGATTCTAACATATTTTCTTCCCCTGGGTCTCACATGACTCTGAGAGATGTAGAATGTTGCACTCCTGCAAGAGCAGGCCAAGATAGCAGAGATTCTGATGACCTTGTACAGGTGAGAAGGGAAAGAAATACCCAGAGAACCAAAAAAAATTTTTTTGTGTTAACACTGTAGTTCTTCTGAAGACCTGGAGGAAATAGCAAACTCTTTTCTAGAACAAAGAAAATAATTAAATGGGTATCCAGTTCAAGTACAAGATGGGCATGAAGCTCACTTTTGGGCCCTGACCTGTAGCATCAGAATATTGATTTAAAAAATTATATATACAGCTATGCTGGACAGGGAAGCAGCTATGAAATCTTCAAACCTTCACTCTCATTTCTTTGCTCCAAATCCAGTTCCCCAGTCTCAGCCCCAGCTCTGTAGCAGACTGAAAGATGTTCCCTCCCTGCCCCGCTGCCCCATCCCCAGAGCACTGAGCAGATCTGTGTGGCATACCCTGCTTTCCTTCCTCCTGTGGACTCCACTAGCCCATTCCCCAGCCCATTTTCATCCCTAAGTGTCAGCTCACAAAACCAAGAAACTCATTCTAGCTTGGACCTCCAGTGGCCACACTAGGCAGGATCTCAGAAGAATTTCTTATCAGGCAACATACAGCCTCCACCTGGAGAGGGCGACAGGATGCAAGGAATGGAACAACCACCCAAAAAAAGATGGGACCACATATCAGTAGCTAAAAGTACAGTCACCCAAAACTGGCCTAGAAGCCAGTGTAAAAGCACAATCAATAACAGCCAGGACAATATGTCTCTACTAGAGTCTGACAACCCTACTAGAGTAGGTCCTGAGAAATGCGATATAGCAGAAGCACAAGTCACAGACTTAAAAATAGGTCTAATGAATATGTTAGAGGTCCTTAAAGAGGAAATGAGTAGATTGATTAAAGAAATCTATGAAAACATAGACAGTAAAAGGAAATGGAAAAAAAAAACAGATCAAGACATGCAAGTGGAAATAGAATCAATAAGGAAACCAAAACCGAGGAAAAACTGGAACTAAGAGATTTAGGAACTCAAAGAAAAACCTCAGAGACAAGCTTCACTGACAGAATGCAAGAGATGGAAAAGAATTTCTCTTTGAAGTCAAGACAGAAGAAATGGGTACTTGGTCGAAGAAACGCTAAATCTAGAAGAATCTAG